CTATATCTATTCCTCTATCTCTCTCTATTTCTCACTGTCTCTATATTTTTGTCTATCTATCTTTGTCTATCCTGCCTCCCCTCCTCTATCCTGACTCCCCTCCTCTATCCTGACTCCCCTCCTCTATCCTGACTCCCCTCCTCTATCCTGCCTCCCCTTCTCTATCCTGCCTCCTCCTATTCTATCATACCTTGACCTCCCAACTTCCATAAAGTTATGATAACAGCTTTTAGATTTAATTAAAGTTGAAAAGAAAATCTTGTTTTTAAACATTATTTTAAATAAATGCACAATTTAATAGTTCTTATTTTTTTAAAGGAAGGGAGATAACTCTTAAATATTTTAATTTCCTCTTCACCAATAACAGAGTAGCATTTCTTGATACTCTTAAACAAAAAAACCTTAATTTTCCTACAGCGTTTCACAAACTTTATTTTTTCGTTTTTTTTTCTTCCTTCTTTTGGTTACCAGATAATTTTGCTTTCGGGGTCCATCAGGCATGTGGGAAACGCTGCTCTAACATCATTTAACTCAAGGGTTCTCAAACTTTGAAAACTCTCTCCTTAGTCCCGACCGAAGTGATGTGTATTACAAATTATAGGTATATAATATAGAGAATTCATAATACGTGTACACGTGTGTTGCAAAAATTCGGGCCGTCGAATCGAATCATTTTTTTTTTTTGGTGTGTTTCATCAACTTGTCTGAGACCCCCTCTGATCTAAATGTTGAAAAGTCCCTGCGTACATATCTTGAGAGTTTCATTAGCATCAATTACCTTCAATGTCTTCATACAGAGCTTGCCCCAGCTGACACAGAAACATGCATGCATCAATTACCTTCAATGTCTTCATACAGAGCTGCTTGCCCCAGCTGACACAGAAACATACATGCATCAATTACCTTCAATGTCTTCATACAGAGCTGCTTGTCCCAGCTGACACAGAAACATGCATGCATCAATTACCTTCAATGTCTTCATACAGAGCTGCTTGTCCCAGCTGACACAGAAACATGCA